AAAAGACCTTGGAATATCACCTGATGTATGCTTTTTACTATTCTGTGATTTTTGCTATTTGATCACACATCGTTTTGTGTTAAAGTTTGATGCATTTTAATTGCTATATTGGTCTTATCCTTTATTCTTGAATATAATGAGAAAAGCCAAATAGTGAGTTTTTAAATTTTCTTAATATATTTGTTTGAGATGTGTGTAATTATTACGAATGAAAAATTAATTGCTTTTGTTTTCTGTTCGCTCCTTAAGAAATTGCAGGCAAACAAAATACATAAACATTTTAGAAGAGTATAAAGCTACGCATTATCAATATTTGTTTTGTTGCCTGATTTTTTTTTCTAATATTTCTTTATTGGCAGCTGAGAAGCAGTTTAAGGAAACCTTTTTTTTTTTTTTTGGGTTGTAAAACTTGATTCAAGAACATTCTTTTAGCAAAGAATGACTCACAGAACAACCACCATTATTGAAAAGAAAGGATCTTCCAGCAACAAGAGAAGGGGATCAACTCACTGTAAGTACTCCTTTGGGAGCTAGTAATGAAATGGGTTCATCTTGCATGTAGATGTCTAACAAAAGGAAAGCTATGCTGTTAAAACTACTATGATTGCGAACTTTGGTTATTATTGCAATTTGGAAAACTGGGCTGTTAAAACTACTATGTGATTGTTAAGTTCCATGTTTAAAGGCATTTCAAGAATTTTTATTTTTGTGAAAGTTGAGATGTGATTCAGAGCTATTTTCTAATATAATAACAGTCGGGCCATGATTCAGATTTTCACTATGTTACATTCATTTTTTTTTAACAAACCAGAAAACTTCATTATATTAATTAAATATTTACATATTTACATAATGCGGTACAAAGATCAACAAGAGGTAATACAAGCCAATCAGGACACAATCCCCCTCAACACTCGTTTCGCCACTCAATCTGCTACTATATTAACCTCCCTTGATACATAAGCAAAACTATAGAAAGAGAAGGCTATAATCAACCGCCATGGTAATCCATTCAAAGTTAAGCCACGACAAAATATTCGAAGTTGGACCAAATACTATGCTCCGCAAAGAGCGGCGTGGTGCAGCTAGTGGATGATAAACCAGGGGCGGGAGGTTGGGTATCGTTATCAGTCACGTGTGATCAAGTTGGAGGTGGGGCATGGCTCGGTTCAGGTGCATTTTCGAGCAAACCAAAATTATGATGAAAAATATCTCTAAATCTCCCTAAAGAAATTGGTTGTTTTGTTCATATTAAATGGTAAGTAACACAATAAAAAATATAACATTTCTTTCTTATCCCCAATCATGTACGAATTTAAATTTTTTAAAAAATAATAAAATATAAAAATAAAATTTTACTCCTCTTAATCTCATGTGATAGGTGAATTACATTTTATTTGATTATCGTAACACAAGATAAAGGATTGGATGGAGGGTAACAGTCTCAGTGGCATGGGACCCCCAAAAATGCCATCCTAGGTGAGACATTATTTATTCAAAAAAATAAATAAAAGGTCGGCCAATCATTCAGCATGAGAGAGAGAGAGAGAGTAGATGGATTAATACATATGCTATGACCAATGTGTTGACTTGACTTAGGATGTGTCATGGTTGAATAGGAATTTTTATTGGGAAAACTTAAGGTAGAAGTATTATAAAGCACCAAACCCAATAGCCTAACGATCAAGGAGAATCTTGAAGTATCATAACATCCATGAACCATCCGCTATCAGAAGAAATGGGAGCTTTAGTGAGATAATTAGATCAGGGTCCGTAAGAACTTTCACAACTCCCAGCAGAATTCCAGCTCAGCAACCAACCAATATCTAACCACTGAAAAACATTCTGATTTTTATTTGTTAAAAATTTTGTTTTTATAGTATGAATTTCAAAGACCATCTCAAATATAGAAAAAATATTTAGAACCTAAATAAAAAATTTTGAAAAAAAATAAGGATATGATTTAAATACAATGAACTTATGTCAATTAATTAATTAGGAATTGAGATTCTTAAACATTTCTCATTTATCAAAAAAAAACTTTAATTTTCTATTTAAACAACTTTAATTTCATAATTTTATTTAGTATTCTTTTATTTTCTTGCTTAATACTCAATATAATAATTTAAAGTTTTTTAATGGTATTAATTACTTTTTTATTTTTCATAATTAAATTTATAATAATTTATTTGCGTTAAATCTATTAAAGTTAAACTTCACTTTTTAAAAGAAATACTATAATATTTTTATAATATTAGTATTTATCAACATAACTTAAAAAAATTAAGAGAAAAACACTCCCAAATTATATTATTTTAATAAAATAAAAATACTCTCATTTCTACTTCAAGAAAATATTGTTTGTCTTTTTTAATGCAAGTTTATTAAAATAATATAATGCTGTTGTATTTTGCTTTCTAATTTTTAGAGATTGAATTAACAAACACATTTTTTTATTCATTGTTCAATTGATTGTTGCATGATTATTATTATGATATTTATTTTTTATTATAATAAATAAATTTATTTTTAATTTTTGTTAAAAATATATTAATAAAAAAATCACATATAAACCTTATTTTAAAAAATTTTTTAAAAATTAATATCTCATAAAGACTAAAATCCCCCAACACTAAGAGCATGTTTGGTTCAATTTTCAAGTGTTTTAAATTTTTGATACTATTCATATTTCATAAATTTAAATTTTTCCTTTAAAAACTTATATTTTTTAATTTATTTTAATCTTAAAAAGATCTCAAACAGTAAAAACTTAAAAGTCAAATGTAAATTTTTCATAAATTCTATTTTTACTCACTTGTTATTCACTTTTTTTTATCTTTAAATTTAATTTTTAAATTTTTTATGATAAAACTTTAAATTTATCACTTATAAATAATAAAAAATAAAATAAAAACCCTTATAAACTTACCTATACATACCCTGAGTTTGTTTTTGGTATTTTCCCCCAACACTAAGTTTCGCCGGCCCTGACTATAACTAAATTTCCTGTCTTTGTCTTCTACCAAAAAAGAAAAAATGCTGTCTCTCTTCCACACACTGTGCTTTATCGTGTTCGTGTATCGTACGCAAGAGTTCCAACAACGTTGAGCGGAAAACTTAAACAACCACGCATTCACATTTCAAATGGCAGAAGGTGCAATTTAGGCCCTGTACTTGCAATGTTTTGGGAAGTCAGCCCCTTTACTACATGAAATCTGTAAATTACCCCTTCTGTTAAGAAAACGTCATCTTTCCGTTTAATTTTTGTGGCACGTTAACAAAGGATGATGATTGGACAATGATATGGCATTGACTTAAAAAAACCACCTGACACGGAAAAAAAAATTTTTTACGAGATTTTTTTTCACCCTTACATTTTTAAATATATAAAACAAAAAACAGACAAGTCAAACTCACCGGCTGTTCCTTGGTCATTTTTTTTTTCATCATCTCCATTCTCAGCCATCTCTTACCAGTTCTTCACTCCTTCTTCTCTCTCAGTTTTCTTTGTTTATTTTCCCCAAAATTTTTAGGTTTCTTCCACTTCATAACTCAATGGGACCGGAATTCATCCTCTTCCCTACTTCTTTCTTCCTTTAATTTTTTATTTGGACCTTGTGCAACTTTCATTTGCTGTGATTTTGCCCGCTGATCTAGTTCTAGGCTCGTTGTTCAACAACCATAGAGTTCCCAATCGGGACCAAAGCTTGCCAAATGGTGTGCCATAGATCCGATCTAGTCTTACACTCACCGAACAACAAGACACAATGCTACAATGAGCGAGTGAGGAAGGGAAGAAGGAGAAGGAGAGGAAAGGATGGAAGAAAGAAGGGAGGAGGGTTCCAGATCTAAAACCCAAATTTGGGTTTTGTTTCATTTTTATTTTTTGGTAAAATTTCTTGTCTGTAATAAATGAGATTGAGAATGGAGGCTACGAGGTCGAGAATGTTGTTGGAGTCGGAGGATAGATTTATTGTCAAGAGATTTAGTTTTTTAACAAGATTTAATATTTTATAGGTGAAGTGAGTTGGTAAATGGTTAGCGCCCAATCAGCTCCCACCTCATCAGGCTTTAACGGGCAATTGAAGGTTTAACATTTGGATGACATCAGTTTAACTAAAAGGGCTGTTATGCGGATTCGAGAAGTAAAGGAGCTGATTTGCCATAGTTTAAAGTAGAGGGACTGACTTACCACAACATTGTAACTACAAGGGCTGAATTGCAACTTCCGCCGCAAACTTTGAATTTGGATACACAGAAAACAATTCTATGCATGCATACCTATCTTGAAGGTTTTCAGCAACAACACATGGGACGTGAAAAATTTCTCAAGAAATTGAAAAAAACAAAAAAAAAGAACCTTCATCCTCACTTCACAAAAAGAAATATTTTAAAAATTTTCAACCCTATAATGGGAATTTCAACGAAGCTTTGCGGGCCTAGAGGAGGTTGCCATCTCTAATAACGGTCGCGATGACCGTGGCCAGAGAAAGCTAAAAGCTTTCTTCTTTTCCACCGACAAACTACGGTGTTGGTCCACAGGTTTCAAATTTTTTAATATTTTGACCACTCAAAAATTTTTTTTTTCTTTTTGTCTTTGATTTTGTCCCTTGAATCAGCATCTTTTATTTATGGGGTTGTTGTCCACATGGGAGGAGGCACACCGCTAGCAAAGGGCTGACGATGACGAACATTATCTTAGCGTGCTGGCCTCCGTCAACGCTGGCCTTGTTTGCTTTTTCCAAGAAGTACATTTTCCTCAAAACTACTTTACAGAATTTTTTTTTTTTTTTTTTTTTTT